CTTAGAGTGCCGTCGGCCAGACAATGCCGGCTGGCGACCCCCAGGGGGAGAGCCTTCTCTGTGGCAGCTCCTGCCCTCTGGAATGACCTACCCCCCGACCTACGTACAGTTGCGGACCTGCGCCTTTTTCGCCGAGCCCTGAAGGCCCATCTATTCCGTGCGGCCGGCCTGGCGTAGTTCGATTATGTTTCAGTGGGGGGTTTTGTATGGGTGTGTTTTTAGAACAGGCCTGTTATTTAATTCGATTTTAGAACAGAAACTATTTATTTATTATCGTGGTTTTTAGTATCGCCTGTTCACCGCCCTGAGTCCCGTAAGGGAGATAGGGTGGCATATAAATTTAATAAATAAATAAATAAATAAATAAAATAAATAAACTGTGAGAGGGACCTTGGAGTCCTAGTGGATGGTCACTTGACCATGAGCCAGCAGTGTGCGGCAGCAGCCCCAAAAGCTAACACAATCCTTGGTTGTATAAACAGAGGCATAGAATCAAAATCATGTGAAGTATTAGTACCGCTTTATAAAGCCTTATAAAGCTTTATAGACCACACCTGGAATACTGCATCCAGTTTTGGTCACCACATTACCAAAAAGATGTAGAGACTTTGGAAAAAGTGCAAAGAAGAGCAACTAAAATGATTAAGGGCCTGGAGACAATAACATGTGAAGAAGGGTTGCAGGATTTGGGTATGGCCAGTCTAGAGTAGGGGTGTCAAACTCGCAACATCACGTGACATGTTGTGACGTATCGTGACTTTTTTTTCCCATTGCCAGCAATGGGGTGGGCGCGGTTTCGGCATGACACATCCGGCCCATAGGCCAGCAGTTTGAAACCCCTGGTCTAGAGAAAAGAACGCCTAGGGGTGACATGATAGCAGTATTCCAGTATTTGACAGGCTGCCACAAAGAAGGTGGGGTCAACTGATTTTCCAAAGCACCAGAGGACAGGACAAGAAACAATAGATGGAAACTAATCAAGGAGAGAAGCAACCTGGAATTAAGGAGAAACTTCCTAACAGTGAGGACAATTAACCGATGAAACAGCTTGCCTTCAGAAGTTATGAGTGCTTCATCATTGGAAGTTTTTAAGAAAACACTGGACAGCCACCTGTCTGAAATAGTATAGGACCTTCTGCTTGAGCAGAGGGTTGGACTACTTGACCTCCAAGGTCCCGTTCAGCTCTATTTTGATTGATTGATTTATTGGTTGGTTGTTTGGAGTTGCAGTCCCAATGTTTCTATAGGACACCAAATTGACCGAACTGGCTTATAGTGTCTAGCTGTAGTTAATTTGCAAGCCATCATAGCTTTCATTGTACATATAGAATAGTTCTTAGATAGCCTTTGATCAGAGAAAGTCACATTTTCCTGCCATTCACAATACTGAACTCTCTTCCCACCACAAGTATTACTCAGCAGTACCTTTGCAGAGGCAAAGGGGCCATAGCTAACATAAACCTCCTTCCCTGACTCTTTGTACCTTAAGACAGATAGAACTGTTTACATTCTGAACAGATTAGATAAGCCATTGGGAGGATGGCTATGCAGTGATCCCCAATTTACAAATGCTGGTGAACATATGCCAGCTGCCTGCCATGATCTAAAGCAGCAAACTCAAATTAGGTGCAGCACCAGTAACCTTTAAATATTCCAACCATTCTGTTTTCTCCAGGTGTGCCTCTAGTTTATGAGGCTCTTAACTGGCAGCACGGAGTATTCATTGGTGCAACAATGAGATCGGAAGCAACAGCTGCTGCTGAATATAAAGGTAAGCCAATGTGAAGTAATGCCTTGGCATTTAAACTGTGTGGCTCATTATTTTCACCTAGAAATTCTGAACATTTGAAGGAACCCTCCCTCCCTCCCTTCCTTGTAATAAAACTTCTATGCTTTGGTACTTAAACAATTGCCGCTCCATATGGGGCATGCAATTGGGTCATTGTGTAAATAAAAAAATACTTAGATTTTATGCAGGAGGCTCTATTCTACACTAGTCTACCTTAGATCAGGGTCCCCAACCCCCAGTCCATGGGCTGGTACTGGTACGCGGCATGCCAGAAACCAGTCCGTGCAAACCAGTGTAGCCCCATCTGCAGGATGCAAGCAGCATGCAAACCTACACCCCCTCCAGTCCGTGTAAAAACATTTCTCCATGGAACTGGTCCCTGGTGCCCAAAAGGTTGGGGACCTCTGCCTTAGATAATTATTAGGTGTCCTCCACATTCAGAACCAAGACATGGTTCTGGGAAGCATGATAGATGTAGGAGTCAATTTCCTGGTAGTAGAGATAAATTTGGAGAAAAAATGAGGAAAGATTTGTCTATCAAGGGGGAAGAAGATGTGGGATCAGATGGACTTTACCTAACCAACAGGAAAAAGTTATTTTATGCTCGTTCTCATTCACTTACAGAAATTTGATTGGATAGGCCAGAGGCCCTCAACCGTGGCAACTTTAAGACTTGTGGACTTCAACTCCCAGAATTCTTCAGCCAGCAAAGCTGGCTGAGGAATTCTCAGAATTGAAGTCCACAAGTCTTAAAGTTGCCAAGGTTGAGAACCCCTGGGATAGGCAATATTTCACTTTCAGAGATTAGTGTGCCTAGTTAGGCAAGATTGCCTGTACTTGTGTGTGTGCGTGTATGTGTGTATTTTGCAAGCTTGGTTCCAACAGATTTACCTTCTGCACCTTCCTGTGGTAATCCACACCATAGTTCCCTGAAATTAAAGAGATGTGATTTTTTTTATCACGTTGTCTGTTTTAATATAGCCAGAGAGAGAAGGAGATAGATCCATGGGGTTGAATAATTAGTGGAAAAAGGAGGGACAGTCCAGATCTGACAGATGACATGGGAGAATGGAGCTTTAATGCTTGCCCCAGTTTTGATTGCGATTCTGTTTCTAGCCCAGAGTACCTTTGCCTGCAGTGGGAGGATCCTGCTCAGCTATAGGTTAAAGAAAAAAATAATCATAATAACCCTTGAATACTGCGAATCCTAAACTAAGAAGCCTAGATTCAAAGTTGCTTGATTTTGACTACTACAAGTAGTCCTCGACTTACAATAGTTCGTGACCAAAGTTACAACAGCACTGAAAAGAGTGACTTGTGACCATTTTTCACACTTATGATCTCTACTGCATCCCCGGGGTCATGTGATCAAAATTCAGACACTTGGCAACTGACTCATATTTAGGATGGTTCCACTGTCAAGTGATCCCCTTTTGGGACCTTCTGACAGTGGGAAAGCCAGATTCATTTAACAACCGTGTTACTAACTTAACAACGGCAGTGATTCACTTAACAACTATGGCAAGAATGGATGTAAAATGGGGCAAAACTCACTTAATAAATGTCTCACTTAGCAACAGAAACGTTGGGCTCAATTGTCATAATTCAAGGACTACTTGAGTCAGATATCAAGGCTGCATGATTTCAAGTGAGTAAATGTGGACCAAGTGATCGTAAAAATAATGGTCTAATTATGAGGCCTCCCCTGCTTTTTTTCCCCCCAGGAAAGATCATCATGCATGATCCTTTTGCCATGAGACCTTTCTTCGGGTACAACTTTGGCCAATATCTTTCCCACTGGCTCAGCATGGCACATCGGCCTACAGTAAAACTTCCAAAGATCTTCCATGTCAACTGGTTCCGGAAAGATGAGCAGGGAAGATTCCTTTGGCCTGGCTTCGGTGAGAACGCTCGGGTGCTGGAATGGATGTTTAACCGCATCCAGGGAGAAGACTGCGCACAGCTGACAGCCATTGGCTATGTCCCCAACGACACAGGATTGAACTTGAAAGGCTTGGAAAAGGTCAGCCTCCAGAAACTGTGTGACATTTCCAAGGAGTTTTGGGAAAAGGAGGTGGAAGAAATCAAGAAATATTTTGCAGAGCAAGTGAATGCCGACCTCCCGTATGAGATGGAAAGAGAAGTTATTGCGCTAGAGCAGCGAATTAAACAACTGTAACCTTAACTGGACACTGTAGATGGTACTTTGGAAAGAATTGCCCAGCTTTTCTAGACACTAGGCCTAGAAGTGCAGTAAAATAGTGGCCATCACAGTTATGGCCAGACGTATCACTTGTGCAGTTTGATTGGAGAAGACCTCTTCAGGTCATTGAAATAGTTGAAGCTGCTTAGTTACCTGAAAAGCATTTGAAGCAATGATTGTAGAGTTGATCAGCGTTATTGCTTCATAAAATAAATGAAATAATCAGAGCTATTGCTTGATAAGCTAGTCTGCTTCCACTGCTAAGTATTGCACTCACACGTCAAGTAAGCTATTCCAGAATAGCTGTGGTTCTCCTATAACTCTTTCCTGTGTGAGTTCCTCTCATCCTCTGTCACTATTCATTGTAGGATGTAGAGTTTCTGCACTTTAGTAAGCAGGAGGTGAAAGTCTAAAAGCCACTCAGCCCAGCAGCTGTCCATTTTAATTTGCAACAGCACTAAGGTGGTGATAATGATATAATCCATAATATAATGATGATATCTTCACTCACTTACTTGTCTTCTGGTACCATATTAAAGTGACCTTGAAGAGAGCCAACTGTTCATCGTCATAATGACATTCTTTGTTGTACGTGTAGTTAATAATACTGAATGAAGACTTGTAGACGACTGCATTGTTGGAGCAACAGATGAGGGACCATCAGAAGAAATAATTAGCAACTAGGGTATTTTGAAAAAAATAAATACATTCAAGAAATTACTGCTCCATTGTGTCACACAGAAAAGCTGTTTGTATGCAAAATAATATTTTCTATGTGCCTTCAGTTTTGTATTGTAATTCTGTCCTGTATAGAGGATCCTGTTATAACTCCAGAATAATAATAATAAAAAAATAAGCTTTTGTATTTTGGCTTCTTGGTATGTCCTCTGAATATTGCTTATAGGCAATCCAAGCCTGTGCATATTTATTTAGAAATCCCACTACAGATATTTCTGCGTTGTTGTGTTGCCCCTGTGTGTCAGCACAAAAAATGGTGTCATGTTACTGGCTGTTCCATTGTTGCTGCATATTGTGCCTCTGTAAAGTTTGATGGGCTTGCAGGACAAATTACCGTATTTATTGGCATATAACATGCACTTTTTCCCCCTGAAAATAGGGTGCAAATGATGTGTGCATGTTATACGCCGATATAACAAGTACCGTATACACATGTCTGGTGTATATGGTATTAACAAGTACCGTATACACCAGACATGTCCAAAGTCCGGCCCGCGGGCCATTTGCGGCCCGCGGCCCGGTTTAATCCGGCCCCCGGCAGGGCGCAGCGTCGCCAGGCCTCCCCCACTTGCGCGAGGCTTCTGGCGTTCCCCCTCGCGCCTGGCTACGGTGGCTCGGGGTTTCCCGTCCCGGGCACGCCAGGCAG